GACCTCGAGGCGCCCGCATGGGCTCGCGCGCCTTTGGTTATGAGCGGACCAATAGCGCGACCCGAGAATGCGCCCGGGCTGCTGGTTAGAAGAAGTCCTAACAGTAATTAGGTCTGCGTTAATTTTATCAACTCAAACATTGGCCTTATCCTTGGAAAATGAGATGACATTGTGCGATTTTTTAGTCATACTCAAATATTATTCTTGTATCGGATGAAGAGTACAGGAACAATGGCAGTGCCTTGGAAAACGCCGATCATGATATACTGAGGCGTCGAGTGTTTATTAACAACAATAACTTTTGACTGCGGTTAGACGAGTAGGATGCAATGAAATCGAGGAGATACAATATATTCTAAAGGTACAGATACCTTCGGAACTGGTGCCCGCTGGGGGCTTATCCTTAAATAAGCACCGAGTAGACGTCTACACATCAGCCATTTCCGTCGTACGATAATTCATCAGGTTCGGGCACACAGTAGAATATAACTTGATGTAGAAACAGTGTTTTGTGAAGAAAGGACAAAAAGAACGAGATGCTTGAAAAATATAAGCATCAGATAGAACGCAGGGGTTAACGGTTAAATGTTGTGTCCAACTCTGTGAGCTTTTACTTGTAAAGTAAAAGGAAAATCCACACCCATTATTCCGACTTAAAAACCTGAATTGCCTCTGGATTAATAAATATACTGATGCATTTAAATCTGCGATTTACCTCGACCACAGTCCGTTTTTTCAGTTTTTTTAGCGTTTTCATTATGTACTGACTTTTTGTGAGCTTCGCAGATTTCGCACAGAAGCACATGAATACATAGGGTAATGATGCTTAAACGAGTCTTTAATCCTTGAACTGTTAGCCATGTCTGACGGTTTTGAGCGCCAAACCAATCACTATACAGACTGAATAAATAATTGGTTTAGTAGCGCGGAATTTGCAGACAGGATGAACCCCGATTAGTGAGTTTTTTCCTATTCTCCGCGACTGGCTTGGCGACCCGTCTCTAACTTAATTTTTTCCACTTTTAGTGACTATCTTTTCAAGCTCTTGCTTATTGGTGATTCGGGAGTTGGCAAGTCATGCCTTTTACTCCGGTTTGCGGTAAGCTTGTGACGTCACCTATTTCATCTTTCTAGGATGACACATATACCGAAACATATATTAGCACTATCGGTGTGGACTTCGTAAGCAAACATTTTTAAAGTAATCTTGTATAGAAAATCCGCACAATTGAGCTAGATGGAAAAGTAGTCAAGCTGCAGATTTGGGATACGGCCGGACAGGAGCGATTCCGGACGATAACCTCATCTTATTACAGGGGTGCTCACGGAATTATACTAGTATATGATATTACTGACGCGGTGAGTTTTCGTGTATTGTATTCCAGTTATACGTATTCAGTTTTTAATGTGTATTTCTGGTTATAACCCGTGTATGCACGAGATAGGAACACCGAGAATTTATGTGAAAATGTTTGCTGCAGAATATCTCTGACAACTTTCTGGTTCTGAATCGTTATTTTATTTAGCAATGCTCCCGAAAAATATTTGCCGCATACTAAATCCTATCTTGTCATCTAGGCTAACTGTGAAGAACAATTTTGTCCTAATTCCTTCTGATTCGATAGTAGCTGACACCAGCACATTCGATTTTATTACCACAGATGGTCCTGTGGAATTTTATGCTGCCCCATTGTAATACAGTTTAGTTTTTGTGTCAAAGTAATCCTGATTAATTCGCACCCACTTGTTCTACCGCTAATTGCTGACTAGCTACTACTAGGGCAGATCTCTTATTGAGCGCTTCTAATCATACACACACGGCAGTGGGCCTTCTAATCAGAATATCCGTGACTCAACTTATTTCTAATGACCTGTGTTATGCATTATCCATACTGCATATGTCCCAAGGCCACATTGTACTTGATGTTATGTTTTGTCAAGAAAGACTATTTGGAAACTAAACTCCAGCGTTTCCTAGATAATTTGATTGGCCTGCGCAAGAATCCAGTTAAGTGCCTCTTAAAGATAATGGTCAGTTTCTGTAAAAACGGTAGTTTGAACCGAAACCCACCCTTAAGCAAATTGAAAGCTGTATCGCTTATGATGTCGACATGCTAAATGGAAATTCTGTACCGCGTTATTAATTACCACCCTCTGCGCTGTCAATTGGTAACTAACTTCCGAACCACGTTGATGCAGTTGACACGGCAGTTGTACCATCCGAAAAATGCAATATCAGACCTGTATTCCAGATCAACTTGCTTCACTTCCACATGTTTTCCGGTGACCACGTTAACGCCCTTGTCGGGTTAGGGTGCGTCGCTACACAGAACAGTCAACCAAAAAAGTGTGCAGTCACTATGCCGAATTCTTTTACCGACTATATCAGTGTTGAAATAAGACGCAGTCGGAGAGACAAAATAGAAGAGCGGACAGGAAGCAGTCTTGGTCAAATAATTCCGGGTGGCAAAATCTTCTACTCATATTGACCATGTTTCACGCTCTATGAACAAACTGTTCCAACGGAAATCTCTTACACTCTCAACCTAGTTACCATACCGGTTCCGCTCCGATTTCAAAACTTATGAAGAAATCCGTCGAAGTCTACGCGCCCGGTTGACCCGATTGTGTGCATTTCACCATACTTCTTCCTATTTTGGTAGAGTT